CCTACTTTATTTTTTGTTGTTATTTTTATTATGTTTTTAATGGAAATAACATTTATAGTATCTTTCTAAGTACAAAAGTAATTCATGTTCAAGTATTCTGATTAAAATATTTGGTCTGGTTTTAAAAGGTAAATTTGTGTAGATTAGTGATGCCCAGGCACTGGATGCAGGGAACCACCTTTAGGAGAATTACATGACTGCACTGTGTGCATCGATGAGAGCATGAACCAGAGCTGTGGCCTGGAGAAACAAGAGGTGGATGCGAAGGCCATTGTGGCTGCCAGGTGACAGGACTTGGCAACAGTTATGTCTCAGGAGAGATGTGGGTCAAAGGTGATGTTCCAACATCCAGCAGGGGTGAGTGGAAAGAGGGCAGTGCCACTAAGTGAGAGGGAACCAAGGAGGAGAAAAGGGAAGGGGGTGGACACGTATGGAGGGCCCGCTCTGTGCCAGACTGAATTTTCCCATGGTGTGGTGTGTTCCCCGTCTCTGGTCTCTTGGGTGGATCCTGGCAAATCTGAGTGGAAAGGCCAGGGATTAGGTCTGGTTGTTCACTGTTGTCCCCGTTGCAGGGCCCAGGGCCCAGGTTCAGTGCTCGGGAAATGTTTGCTAAAGGCACCCCTTATGCAGACAGGTTGATGCAGCGTCAGTTCCATGATCTGGGGACCCTGCTGATGAGGGAGGAGTGGGGTGCAGCCAGGTGATTTTGGTGGGGAACCTTGTCTGGCCAGGTCAGACTTTCACTTTGGCACAGTCTTCTATCACGCCTCAGCTGGTGCTGAGAGGGCGGCTTCCTGGGCTTCCTGCAGCCCAGGGCCCTTGGCAATGTCATGACTGTGTTGGCTGTTGGCTGTGGGCTGAGGTCCTGGTCTCCAGTGTTGTCAAATGCTGTGACTCCGCACTGACGGGACTTTAAAGCCCACTGCCCCAGAGCCGCCTGGAGCCCCATCTCTGTCTTCCGATTGGTGGAGTATTTTTGACATTCTGTCACGGTTCTTCTGTTACTTCCTTTATGGTCAGCTGTTTAAGTGGTGCCCGTGAACATGCAACACATGCCATCTTATCCCTGAGTCCTTCGATTGTAGTTCCTTTATTTTGTCCAGAAGTGAGAAGTTTCAGTTGTTCATGAGGTAGTTGTCATATTGAAGGACTTTTTTCCCCAAGTGTATGGGTGAAATAGTCATCAACTACGGACACTTTGGTTTACCAGATCTCCTGCTTTAAGCTTTGGCAACGTCACGCCAGCAAAGGAACCAGCCTGTAAAGTGCCATATCTACCCACCAAGGCATGGCTGCCCAAGCTCGGACACAGATCCCTCAGTGTTTGTTGTTCTTTAGAATTCTGCTTACTTCTGCCCTTTTCTTTCCCTTTCTAAGCATCCAGAGATGCTCAGTGTATACTCTGTTGGTTAATTTTATAATCCTCAGAGAAAAGCTGTAGGTTTGAAGCTATAGCTTCAAAAAGTGGTACCTTGAAGACTCGTTCCTGCATCTTCCTTAAAAAGTGTGCTTAAATAAATGCACGAAAGAAAGAGTTTTGGAAAACACAAACGTGTGTGTACACCAAAGTAGTTCTTTCTCTTGGTAGCAATTTGGAGTGGGCGGGATACTCCATCTCTGAGTCCCAAAGGCACCTTTGGTCATTACCTCGGGCACAGCCAGGCACTCTGGTTTCCTAACGATGGGCTTCCTTGTTACCACATGGCATTCCATTCTCAAGGCTCATATTCTTTAGTTTTCACCAAGAAACCGAAAACATTGCATTCACTATTTTTTCTAAATTGGAGATAAACAAACACATAAGGGCTGGCGTTGAGGCTCCCAGGCCAACTCCCCAGGCATGGGCTGGCAGCCCCTGGCAGCACTCTTTGTGCAGTGAGCCCAGCCAAATGACAACTTCCCAAACAAGCCTTCATGTACTTTCCTTACAGTGTGCTCTTGCTGGTCTAGGTCATACTGTGTGCCCCTTTCCTGGTACTAGCTCCCTCTTTTCAACAGTGGTCTCTTTTTTTGCCTTTTTTTTCTATTGTGAAACATTTCAAGCATACAGAAAAGATAAGAGTGTGTACTGCGAGCACACATGTAGCTGCTACCTGATTCTACAGTGAGCATTTTGCTCTTTCTTTACCCCATGCCTGTTCATCTAGCCCTGTCTCTGTCCATGAGTCCGTCCTGTTATTTTGAGGTATTAAAAACCAATTTTCAAATGTGTATGTACACTTCACCTCTAAACATGTAAGCATGCATATCATTAACTAGAGTTGTTTTTTTTTTGTCTTTTTTCGTGACTGGCAACGGATCGCAACCCTCAGTGTCGCGCCCGT